AAATAGCATATGGATGTCCTTCTTTCAAATCGTCTAGAATTGACCTCTTCAGGTCCTAACACATTTGTGATAGCCTTGCTCATTTTTGTCCTACCTCAAGTAAAGTTAGCACTTATTTTGGAGTCGTTAAATATTATGGGGAAAAGATTCGACCCACAATGTGATGACAGATAGCATATTCATTTTGCATGATGGTACGCATATTTTTAAAATGATAATATTTGATAGATTGTCGTTTGTTAAAACTGAGCTATTGTTGAATAATTTATCAATTATATTTATAATCTTTTGCTTGACATATACTTTATGGAATAGTATAAAAGTAAGTAAGTGAAAAATATTATTTAATCAATATTATTCATCCACTAACTTTATTTAAAAGAATTAGAGATTAGAATAATATCCACTTCTAAAAGTACTATTCTTCTAACACAAAAATTTTGAAAATGTCGAGTGGAGCACTGCAATTCTAGATAACGATATAAAATATATTAAGTAATTTAAAATATATTTATAATAATTATACATACTGTTCTAACTTCTATTCTTTCTAACACAAAAATTTTGAAAATGTCGAGTGGAGAATTGGAGAATTTTATAAAAAATATATTTTAAAGCGGAAAAATAAAATAAAAGAACTAGACATATTTTTCGAATAAATATTTAAAATTTATTTTAAAAATATAAAAATAATCAAATACTGTCTCTCAAAATTATTATTTATATATTAAAAACATTTAAATGCTAAAAAAAAATTGTGGGAGAAATTAAAAAATTGTGGGAGCTTTTTGTGGGAGATTTCTAATTGTGGGAGTTTTGTGGGAGTGAGATGTATGTGGGTAAACTAAAAAATTGTGGGAGAATCCCACTGATGGGGGGAGACATGGCAAGCCAGTTTCCAATTAGCAATAAGCTCTTTTAAGTAGGTGGACACATGCAGTTAAATTTTATACCAAACAAAAACTCATGTCTTTGCAGTTCACATTTTTCTATCTTACATCTACAAATTATTATAATCCTGGTAATTTGGATATATCAATTAAATAAATGTGTTTTTACAGGTTTTTTAAATATTTTCATTAATAAATATTTACAAGCTAAAATCAGGCAATGCAATACTAGTAACAATTAATTGTAAATATATATAAACTTTCTTTATTAATTTAAATGAATTAAAGCATTTTTTATGATATTAATTATTACTTAATTTGAATGAATTAGTACATTAATAAAAGCTCAAGATGATTTTTATGTTATTAGTATTATTTAATTATTAGAAATGTTGGGTGGGGGGCTTATATACCCTCATCTATTGCCACAAGAATTGGTCAAATAACATGTTTTTTTTATAAATTTTTATGTTTTCATGAATTATACGTGGTTATTTTTAATTTTTCTTTCATTTTATAATTTATCTTATGCAAAAAAATCAAAAAACCTTTACCTGAATTTTAAATTTAAATCATTTTATATTATAAAAAATATATATCAAACGCTATTTTTGCTTTATAAATTATATAAAAATTAAATTTATAAAAGTGCTCCATCTTGTGGAGATTTTTTTGTTTTGTTTTATTTTCTTTTTATATTTATTTTTTTTATTATTTATGTATATAAACTAAATATTTACAAAGATGTATTTATAGTAAAAAAAATATAAAAATTATGTATAAATATTAATAGATGACTAAAACTTTTATAATAAAAAAAGGAGTAATAGTTGAAAACTATTCTCATAAAATATGTCTTAATATGGTTATACATATATTAGTATATCATTTACAGGATAAAACTAAATTATAAAGATAATTTATATTCTTTATATAAATACAACAAAAATTTTTTTTATTTCAGGACTAATAAATAAAGAGTCAAAGGCAAGCCATTTGTCATTATAAAAAACAAACACTCTTGTTTGAAGCAATGTTGACACACACGCAATTTTCACATCTGTGACCCATGTCCCACTGAAGCCCATTTATTCTTCACAATGTATCAGTAGAGTTTTGCCCTATAAATCCAGAAAAGTAGTTGAAATGTTTCAGCATAAGAGAAATAATAGCAGTCCTGATCATCATGATATTCCTCATTATTGCTAATACATCTGAATAAATAATTTCCATCACCTAGGACTTGGTCAACCTTATCAGAATCCCCTAAGTTTGTGGATGTTAAATTTTGAGTATTTTAATGCACTTAAGGTCAGGCCTAAAATTTCAGAATGATATTTTTTCCATTTTGATGTTGTTGGCTGAAAAATGGATATTGGATCTTTTATAGTCCCAAAGTCCAATATCACATTTGGTCTAGATAGGTAATTTTTTATGGAAAATGGAATACGATCCTTTTGATTGGTAATAAAATGTGCTTTATTTATTAAATAAATAAAATAAAACCAAGAGTAAATTTTAAGGTTTGGTGTATATTGCTAGTATATTTTGTCATTGCATTTTTAACAAGTTTGGTTATGAGTATAGGCCAATTTGGATAGGTAATATTATTTGATTTGGGTCCACAATTATATTTCATTTTTTATATTCATTTATAAATTATTTTTAAACAATATATATTATATTCAAGAATGACGGAGTTGAAGGGTAATTAGTTAGTTTTTCTCCCTACTTTTATGATAGTTGTTACCTGTTATTTGAAAATAATATCTTTTTATTTATAGCCCCCTCCCCCCTTCAGGCCAGGCCCCCAGCCTGCAAAAAAATTTGTTTTAGGACAATGTCTGATCCATAGTTGATAATAGAATTCCCAAGCGTCCAAGCTGATAATAATTTCGAAAAATTTTCCCTAAGCTCCAATATAATTCATAAAAATGCTCAGCCCCACCTATTTTCTCAAACATGGCCAACGCGTAATAATTTTGAAATTTTTACCTCAAGCCTGGAGATAGGTAAATCTCTAAAAATCATTTTCATTTTTTATTCATTTTAATCCCGCTCAATCCTACTTCAGACCAAGACCAACTCATTAGGACTAATAGTGAATACTATTTTTTGAGTAAAAATATATTAAAATTAGCTTTTACCTGAGACCCATAAAAATATTATGCCTAATATCTAATATAAAAAAATTCCCAATGCTCATAATCATGTTGAGAAAATTTTCTCAAGCCAGCCAAAGGCCATAATAATTTTGGTAGTTAAGAAATGAGATAAAATATGTAAAAGTCATAATTCATTTAAAAATACAATCAGAATAGGAAAGTTACATGAGCCTTTTTTTTGATCCGGCCTACCTATGTCTGCAAAAAAAAAATTTCAGGCCAATGTCTAACCCATAGTTAAAATTCACAAATCTTCAAGCATCTCTATTTTAAATTTTATCCAATATGATTTCCATCACAAATTTAAATTTTAATATTTCTAATACTCTTAATGCTCATTGTATTGCAACAATTTTAGCTCTTTTTCTCCTAAATTTTAATATTTTTATAAAATTTATTTTTAAAATATATTTAGTACTATACACACAAACTAAATAATTACCCTTCAACACCGTCAGCTAGTTATGGTAATAAATGGTGAAATTTTAAAAATATCAGCTAATAATTAATATTTTAAATTTAATTATATTCAAGTTGGTGCATGCGCATAGCATATGTCTTTCTAATGGGAGGGTTGTGGTTCGATCTCGTAGATTGCAAAAAATTAACATTTCATTATATAGTCTCCTTAAATTTTAAATACATTAGGGAGATACGAAAACGATCGTGTTTTGATTACGGAGATTATATATATTAGATTATATCTTTTTGAAAAATTTTATATCTTGCAATTTATATTTATTGCGCATTAAATAAAATTAAAAACAAATTATACTGTCCAGTCTTATGCCATTTTTAAGATATATATAGTATGTTATAAAGCAACTGTTAATCAACAATATTGCATATTATAATAAAAAATAATATGGTTGTTATTTTATAAATAGATAATTTTTTGATGATGCAAATCTTTTGATACATTATAATGGATGTTTTATAATTAAATGTTTGATATTTAGTGTTAAAGATTTAATGTTTTGAATAATAAAAATTACTAGAATGTAAAATGTGAATTTATAAGTATTAAACGAAAACTTGGGTAAGATAATTAAAGTGAGGAGTAATAAAATACATGAAAAATTCTAGTTAATGAAGGCTTTATAAAATGTGCATGTGACATGTAATACATGTAGATTTTTAAAAATTTCCTATTAAAATTTTTTTTCAATCCCGTCGTGTTTTATATTTAAATGTCGGTTGGCAAGGAGTTGGTGCACAAATTTTATTTTAAGATAATTAAAATATATTTTATCTCTACACTAGGTATCAAATTCATTATATAATATATATATATACAAGAAAATTTGAATGTTAAAAATTAAAAAATAATATAAATAATAAGTTTTTTCCTAGATAATATTTTTAAAAAATTAGTCTTTCTTTTATCGAAAAATATTTAATAAAATTTCTTTTCAATATTCCACATATTACTTAAATTTATTTATATTTTTTTTTAATAGCGAGCACTATTTATTCATTCCATAATAATATTATGATAAACTCGTTTCGTTCGTTTTATTTTAATAGGGTTAATTTCTTGATTAACTTTTCAGTCACTTTTTCTAATTTTTTTTCTTGCATTAATTTATTCTTTTAAGCATTTAGTTCGACTTGATCTATTTTCCTAATTTTTATTCATAAAAACAGCCATAGAACGACATTTTTTTGAAAGGTTTGTTTTTTTAAAGTGAAGATCAACGGTCAAATTTTCTGTGCTTGTATCGTGGTTTGATTTTAAAAAATCGGTTCCGCGTTTAGTTTTTTGTATCTAAGTTTCTGTTCGACCTGATAGAAAAAATTATTATATTATCTTTTTTTTATGATTTAGCAAATAACTATAAAACTATGTCAAGAAAGTTTAAAGAATCCACTAAGTTTTATTCCATAAATAAAACTAGTTCCTACCTTTTTTAAATTGTTGATGAATAAATATCGTTCTCTCGAATAAAAATTTTATGCCGATAAAAATGATACATTCATATTTATTTATAATTTTTACAAATTTGAAGTCAAAATACTTATATTTACAATTTTCATAATAAAAATAAATAAATCATTTCAAATTCAACTAAATTCGGGTTGTTTTTCCAAATATTCTTTGACTTGGTTTAGTAATTCCACTTTGATATGGTCTGGCACCAATCCTAGCATATGCAAATTTGAAAAAAACAAAAAAATTTGTAAGCAAAATAAATAAATAAAAATGAAGGAGGAATTATGACTTAAATTAAATTTATTGAATCTTAAGATTTTTATTATGCGGGGATCATTTCTAAATCCCAATCGTGCCACGGTCGGGACCTGACCGCCAACTTACAACTTTGATATAGGTCGGGGAAGATTTGGGCCACATTTGGTCTCGGACCTCGGCACAATTAATTTTTGAACTATTTGGTTTTCCTAATTTGTTTTTTTTTTTTAAATTACTTTTCCAAAATGTTTCATTATCCTATAGGCTTTATAAATATACTCTTCTGATAACTTAAAAAAATCGAACTTTTTTTAAAAAAATATATTCCCGGCTGGAAGTTTAGGATATCATTTCAAGATAAGATTTAGGATGGGATTTTTGAGGAAAAAAATAAATAGTCGAACGGGTCATGACGGATTTGAAAAATTGGGCTCAACACGTGGCTCGTTCCTATTAAACGAAAGGAGATTTTTTTTATTGTAAATTGATTGAAAGCTTTTAAAAATAAAAGTGTCAAGAATTCAAATGGATAAATTAATGCTACAAATAAGAATGATCGCGCAAAATTAGGCCATATCCCTAATAACCAGAGTTGTTAAAAGATTCTTTTTAAATGGATCTAGATACAGATACAACGTCTAAAATAATATCTAGATACAGATTATTTAATCAAAAATCTATCTAGATACAGATACCACATTTTTATATCTAGATTATCTAGATCCTTTAACAACTCTGCTAATAACCGTGAAAATAGTGGGACATCACTCGATTTTCATATAAATTTGCATTCTATAAAAATAATAAGAGTTAAGGTCCCGGTTTCGAATATCTCCAGGAGTCTAAAAAATTTTGAAAAGAGATTTCGGTTCTTCGGTCCCGAGCTCTTAGGAGAAAACAAAAAAATGTCGGAAATTTTAAATCCTAAATATAACCCTTGAAAATTTGTTATGTCGACATTTGCGAAGGTTGCCAAAATATAGCAGAACTGTTCTTTTTTGACTCGGCCCGCGTTTTTCAAATGATAAAAGACCCGATGCCGGGTAATTCCAGCATGTATAGAATATTAACTCTGTGATATTCAGACGATTTTGTCAACAAATTTTGTGCATTTTTTTAAAATTTTATATTTAAAAAAAAAAATTATAGTTACAAAATTCGCGGAAAAATCATTTCATAGTAATTAATCTGTATACTGGAATAGAATTCCACGATAAAATCCAGGTTTATTTATAAAAAAACCCAGATTTTCTAAAACCCCGCAACATATATATATTATATATACATGAGTATAATAGTTGTACTATTGTTAGAAACCGGTTCCTATTCGTATAAATTTTTAGATCCCCTAGGTTTTCTCCGGTTTAGAGGGTTCCTGAGTTTAATGTGTTGTTATTTTTATTTTTGTTTTTATGTTATGTTTTTTTTATTAAAAACTGTAAACTCACGGCCTTATTGTTATCAATAACGCTATCTATTGAAGATATAACATAATTCTAATGTTTAAATAAATTCAATAATATGATTAATAATCCGTTTATATTTTATACTTTACAAAATGGTCCCATTAGTTGATGGCAAAAAAAATATTATGACCCAAATCATTTTTCTTACAAAGGGATTTATGTAAAAGTGAGTTTATAAAAAATGTCAATACTGATAAATAACTTGGCGAAAAATGTTTAAATGTGAGAGTGAATAGCATTTTATTATCCCAAATAATGTCTTTATAAAGTCAGGCCTAATGCCAAATTTATAGATTCAAATTCAAGAGCACTTATATACTATGAATTTTATTGGACTTATATAAAACATTTGTCATATTATATACATACTATAATTTAAGACAACAAATATTTTCCATGAGGCTATGTTTGAAGGACATACTAAGCATTTATAATTTTTTTTATCATCTTGAATTTAAATAAAACATTCTTTCTAAGAATTCTTTTTATCAATAGAGTAATTAAATTTTATGAATAATTTAATTCACTTAAATTTTACAAATTATTTTCTAAGCATTTTATTTTTTGTTAGCTAATTTTTTTTAAGAAAAAATTAATTTAATAACCTCTTGCTTGTGGAGTTATATCATTTATTAAATCGTCTGCAGTAACGTTTTCAATTCCTTTTTCCTCTGCAAATTTTGAAGCACTTTCTTATTTATTTTAATAGTTATTAAAATAAAATGTTTTGAAATATAAATTAAATATTTTCCTTAAGGTAAAAATAGGTTTTAATGTAATAAAAAAAAAATTAGGCAGAAAAATTTTAATTGGGTTTTATTAATATTTTTTAATTAGAGTGATTGATCTGTTAATCTATAAATTTTATTTTACTTTTACACAATTCCTTAACTTCTTCCTTCCATCCACATTCAATTAATTTAAGATTTAGTTCTTCTTTTAATCTGTAGTTTTTATTTTTTTTAAAAAAAAGATAATATTTATTAATTGATTTACAGAAAAATTTAAAATCTTACATGTAACTTAACTTAATTAAATATTAACTATAAAATATATGAAATTTAATAGATAGGTATAAAAATATTTATTTCTAAACACATAATTTATATTCATTATCAAAAATATTTTTCATTATTGGTTGTAGTTGTATAATCATAATAAGCATAATTATTGATAAATAATTTTGAATGTCCATTTGTATGATGATTCATATGAAATTTGGGAATATATTCATTATTTATTATATGTTGTTGTGGTATATTTATATGTTGAAAATTGTTTAAGAAGTTATAGCTTGTAATAATATTATCATCTTTATTCATTATAGTTTCATTTTTATTTGGTCTATATTTGTTATTATTATATATGCAAAGTTCAATTTTTTTGGAGAGAATCATCCTATATGATTCATATTTCATTACAATTTTTTCAAGTTCTTGCATATACAATCTTTTCAATATTGCTTCAAATGATTCCAATTGTTCCAAATTAAAAATATCCCATTTTAAATTACAATCTAGCTCTTTAGGCGCAACTGAGTATATAATAATCCATTCAGGAATTTTTGCATTAAGAAATGGATTTGCTGGCACTAAAGGTTTCCTTTCTATGTTGGTATCTAAGGTAGAACTGTGGTAAATTTGTGTATTTTTATCCTTACCTAAGTTTATAGAATGCATTTCATGTTGTTGATAATTTTTATTAGGTATGGCATAGTTATCTGTAAATTTATCATGACTTTGTTCAGTATATTTGACCATATAGTCATTATTTATATTTGATTGATTCACACATTGTGATTTTTTATTAAATAATTTATTTAAATCACTTTGTTCTGTATTTTTTTTCCTTCTTATGATATAGTCCATAAAATAAGCTTTGAATGATATTTTTGGTTCCTTGATGAGGTATTTTTCTAGATCAGGTCTTCTATCAATATCTTTATATACATCATTGTTATCTAATTCATTAACATTTGAAATTTTGTTCCGAATATTGCCTGGTTCATAATTATTAAATCTTGCAAAATTTAATTTGTTAATGAATTTATATTTGATATATTTATTTTCAAGATCATTATTGCCAATATGATTTTCATGCAAATTCGTAAATTGCTTTTTAATGTATCTTCCAGGCATTTCATTTTCGGATGTTAATACATTTTTATTTTTTTTCCAGGGATTCATCATGATTTATATAAATATATATTTTGTATATAAAAGCGAATGTGTATGGGAATTACCGTAGTTTTTCCTCTGATTCGTTGAATCTTTGATCCATTATTGCATTAATTTCTTCGTTACTTTAAATTCTGATAATATATAGATAAAAAAATATCGATACTTATTTTGAAGCATTTCTTTTAAATTTACTGTTGTTTTGTTTGGAATTAAAAAATTGACATATGTTACTCTCATGAAATATATGTCAGAATTTGACATAACAATAATATTTATTGATTTTGTTTTTGGGATGCATCCGATTGAATATAATTATTAATAAATATAATTTCCATCAGAATCCAAGGAATTTCATTCTTAAACAAAAATTTTAAATTATTATTATAAATATATAATTATTCTTGTATATTACGATCTTGTAGTCCCACATTCGTATATATAGATTAAGAATCACCATTTTGTTTTGTATTTTAATTTTAAATTAGTATGAAATATTATATAATAAAAGGTTGATCACTTAAAATAATTAATAAAGATTTATTTAGAAACAAATGTTAAATAGGGCCAACAATTTTCTAACTGGAGCTGAACTACCAAAAAGGGACTATAATTTTATTTGAAAACTTCCATAAAACGTGATAAATGTAAAGCGTCGGTAAAAAAATTACAATTTTTGCATTTATACGATTTTCATCATATCAAATTTTATCCAAGGGATAAGTATGAAATATTATCCTAAATCAAACCAATTTCTTATAACAAATTACAGATTTTAGTAATAAAATAACTATAATAATTCAAAATCACAGGCAACTACTTACCATCAAAACTTGAACTACACGATTAATTCCTTAATTATAGATTACGATCCAAGGGATTCACACCATGGAATAATGGTTATGCATTGGAATCTCACCTACATAGCTATCTTTCTCTCCCAGAATAATATTAGTTCCTATGAATAACTAAATAATAAATATGCGCATTTAATAAAAAATATTATTTATGTTCCAGTTTTAGTTTCAACATCTTATTCAATCGGGAAACGAGTTACTATTATTTTTAAACTACTTATCCGAAAGTGCCCAAAATTTCCAATTTCAATAGCTATTTTTTATTGCTAAAGCATAAAATTATTAAAACCGCCGCTGTAATTTCAAATTATTCAAAGATTTGGGATCAGCACCTTCGGAAGATAACTGATTTACCTTTATTTTTATACCATTTTATTTAATTTCAGCATGTTTTTTTTAAAATATAATATTTGTTTCCAGAGTATTATCTTTAACTCTTTATTTGTGTCTTAAATTTACAATTTAATAAATTGTCCTATCTGAAACATTTTTAGTATAACCAAAAAGTCACCAGGGCACTTGACGGAAGAGGGGTTTTATATTTAATAATATTGAGATAATCATTAAATATATTATCCAGATATGCATTTTTAAAAATCATTCAAAATTTGATTAGTGTCAAAACTTATATCATTATTTATATTATTGTTTTAAACGGCTCGATATGCGCCGATTTTTAAAATATAAAATTATAACAAAAAAAATATTATGCAAGCCTGAAGATTTGGCTCATCAAGGCACAAAGATTTGTACGTACATCTATTAGTAAAATCTTGAGGTTTGTGCAATATCGTTTTGGCAAATATACTGAGCTAGTCGTTATTAAAAATTGGCTTAAATCGAGACGTTTAACAACACTACATCATCTAAGGGATGCCATATCTGATATTAAATATATTTTGATTTATTTTCAGAGATTGTTAACAAATTATATATTTTTTATAAATTAATTTAAATATATCTAATCATAATATAAAATATACCACTTTGCCTTCATCCATTGCGCAAAATATTGTCTGGCTTGTTTTGTATATTAAAAATAATAATATTTAATAAATTTAATTCAAATATTATTATTACTATTATTAAAAAAAACGTCAAGTAAAATTATATCTAAATATACAAATGTATCGTATCCAAAAATAGATATGGATGCCTGTAAAATAGTATCTATATAAAAATACCTATAATTTTTATGAAAGTGTACCCAGATACGGTTCCATGTCAATTCAGCGAAACTTTTATCGCGAAATACTTTTTCGCGAAACTTTTATCGCGAATGTCGTTTATCGCGAATGGATTTTATAGCGAAACTTTTATCGCAAATCCATAATAGCGAATACTATTCCGCGAATGCAATATCACGAAACAAATATCGCGAATTTTTTATAGCGAAACCTTTATCGCGAAACCTTTATAGCGAATACATTACCGCGAATACAATATCGCGAAACAAATATCGCGAATTTTTTATAGCGAAACCTTTATCGCGAAACCTTTAATGCGAATACATTACAGCGAAACTTTTATCGCGAATCAATAATCGCGAAAATTTTATAGCGAAATCTTTATCGCGAAACCTTTAAAGCGAATACATTACCGCGAAACTTTAATCGCGAATCAATAATCGCGAAAATTTTATAGCGAAGTTATTATCGCGAAACATATATCGCGATAGAGAATTTAATATCGCGATAATTGCTAATAATGACTAATTTATTTTGAATCACTTTTTTATAATTAAATTATTTGAATAATATTTTTTTAAAATAGGTTGAAGATTGATTCACAATGATAGTTTGTAATTTTCTTTTAACCTTAAAAAATTTATATAATGATTAATAAACTTAGATCTGGTTTATGAAATTTGTTATTGAAAATACACTTTTTCGCTATCCTATCCTTTTCTTCGAAGTTCTTATTTTATAATAATCGCGCACAAGGAACTCAGCTTTATCAATATATTAATCATTGAGTTTATTAGTTAAATCTTGATATTTACTGGCGAAATTGATATCTGGGTAGCATTCCTATTTAATGTCTGATGACCTAATTAGTGTTGTTAAACGGCTCTTTTTGAGCCGATTTTTAAAAACGACTAACTCAATATTTTATCCTGAATAATATTAAGCAAGACTGAAGATTTTGTTTGTAGAAGGAACAAAGGTTTGAACATCTATTAAAAAATCTCAAGGCTTAGGCAATATTTTTCTGGCTAAAATATTGAGTTAGCCGTTTTTAAAAATCGGCTCAAAATAAGCCGTTTAACAACACTAGACCTAATATTTATAAATTTATCAATCAATTTTGGCCAGGGTTAGCAGTCAGTCAATTAACCAGTCAAATGACTAGATTTTGACGAGTCAATTAAACGGGGAATATTTGACCTGGTCATATAGTCAAATATTCTATAAGATCTGAATATAAAAATATGTTTGAAAAAGAAAAAACGATATAAATACATGTGATCACAATACTGCTATTTATTGAGTTCCTAATATTAAGGAGAGCATTTTACTCATAGTGAATTTAATGAAGTATGTAATATAATAAGAGAATTAGGCATACTACAGGTGGTGATCAAAATATTTCAAGTTATATTTTACGATCTTTATAGATATCTTTTTATCTTTTCTGTTTATTTGGGAAGGGGGGGGGGGTGCGTGATTTAGTATAATATCTCGCCATGAATCTCAATTCATTTAAATATAATATTTTGATTTGGGTTCTTATTGAATAAATAATTTTAATATAATAAAAATATAGCCACACTTATAAAAATTAACAAATAATTAATGACATAATTGATAAATTATATAACTATTAAAAAAAAGTATTGCCGAAATTTAAAAAAAAAAATTTTCTCGTCTGGCTGGTGCCATTCCCTTGGTTATAAATTATAAATATTTTCGCCATTCTTTCCTCTTTATTTCAGAGTCTTATAAAATACAATAATAAAAATTTTGTTTGTTTTTATATTATAGGCTCAAATTTTTTATATTTGCATAATTTTTTGTGACAAAAATATAGGAAGGTCTACTTTGGTATAAAATTTAGCAAGCTACATACCGACTCATTCGTCAAGATACAGATTTTATGAGGGTATTTACAAATTCTTTTATACGTGATCTTTCTCTACCACATCAATCCTACGATTAATATTTCAAAAATAACTACCTTTCGTCATGCATTATAAAATTATTTTAAATTTCATATTCCTAGCCCTTGAGTCATATAGTTGTTTTCCCTTACAAATATGATCACTTTTGATGAGCAACATTATTAGTCAAAATATTATTATAAATACTCAAGTATTACACTAAAGGGCAAAGTTTAAAATGAGGATTACATTTTCCTTTTATTCATTAAAGCATGTAAATTTTTTTATATTGGGATGTTTTTGTCCGATGTTTTTTCCCATGGTTATTTTTAACCAGTCTTTGTCCAAATCAGTGATTCTTTTAAAATTTTACACTTTAGTTATATATTTAACAAACAAACTATTGGCTTAGACGATATGATATGACAATGCTCTACTTTTTCCTTCACATATTCAATAAATAAAAAAATCATTTTTTAAAAAACTTTTTATAATTAGATTTATTTTGTAAGGATATTTATTCTAAATGTGAATTAGATATCAAAAAATATGGCCTAAAGGGATCTATTAAAATAAGATAATACGCTATACCATTTCCTATTTTAACTTAAGAAAAGGACTGTGGAGAATATAATCAGGGGCTTGTATACATATCTATAAATGATATCAACCCTCTCAAAACTTTTAACCACCTACCAAATAAAAATAATTAAAAAAGGAAAATACAATTCATCCCTTTCCAATTTTATTCAAATAATGATAATTATTTCATAACTAACTATCCCCCCTCTAATTTCAATGATGCTCCTCTAATGAGTTCGCAGTTCAAGTTACGATGGAAAAAAAATTGCTTGAATTAATTTTGTTATATTATAGCTCTAAAATTCCTTAAGGTTCATAATTATTTAAATATTGGCATTTTGTTAACTTTTTTAAATATACTATATTCTCATTTGATTTGATAACAATGTAATTGAGCTTAGGTGGCTTCATGTCATGAATAATAAAAATAAAACTAAAATTAAAATACATCATTTTTTTTGGTTTTTTTTTAAAAAATATTTTTATTTACCCGCGAAGAGTGGCATTAAAAATTAAAAAATCTCGCTGAATAATAATAAATATAAATTTTTTTATGAAAACTAGATTTAAGAAATTTACGTAAGAAATGTATATGAGATGTCTTACCTTTTCACTTATTACAAAGAACTTATAGGAATTGAGTTATTTTCTCTAAAACATCCACCAATAATTTTAAAATCATTCTTCGCTAGGCTTTATTTTAATTGTATGC